CTGATAAAAAAAGTAGATGAAATGGATAACTTACGAGTTAAGCTTGCACAAAATCGTAAAGAAAGGGAAGAAGCTAAACATGAGACGAAAAGGGTCTTAGATTCCAACTAATCTATTTTTGTTTTTTCTAAAGTAGTTTGCAATCTATTGCAGAGCAATGGCTCTTCGAGCCTATATACTGTTTCAATATCAGATTTGTTATAAGGCCATAGTTTTTTATTAAGCTCGATTAATTCAGTATTAGATTCGAGTACCTCATATAGCAATTTTTCTAACTTCTCATAGCTCATGTGTTTTTTTTTAGCACCTTTGGTGCTTGTTCTGCTAAAGTCGAATTGATAGAATCTAAGCTAAAATCTGCAGAAGCACACCACTCATCAAATGATATACTGTTATCCTCATCTCCATCTATCTTCTGAGAAATTTGATCTGATATCAAAGACTTACTATCTTGAACTACATTTGTGCAATTTACCTTAAGTTTATTCTTGACCTTATACATAATAACCAGAATAATGTGATCCTTTCCATTAAAAGGAATTTTCAGCTCATTTTTATCCCAATCCATAGCATATTTGTATTTCTTGAGAAGACGGTTTGAAAATATTAACATCGGCTTGAAATGGTTTACAACTACAAAATCTTCATATATAGTACAATCAGGTTTAGTGTTATTAGTAGATTACAAACAATACCAATAGATTCAATTAGAACAGTAGCAATACTACTAAGGTCATACTTTACCGATCTATTAATTTTTCCATTTACACGCTTAACAATATCATCTATTACAATCTCAGTTTCAGCTCTACTATCAAGTACCATTGCTGAAATTTTTAAGTGCTTAATTTTACATTCTACAGTTGCAACACTTGTAGCTGGCTCTTTTCTCCGAACTAAATCTATCTCCATAGAATCATCCAATATTTCTTCTTCCTCTGACTCAGGTATTTTTGGGGCTAATTCTCTATAATTCGTGAAATCTGAAGTGGTTAAGTTTTTGTTCTCAGATTTAAGTTTCTCCAACTGATACGGGAGTAAAACCTTTTCAAGCATATCTAACAAAATTCGCTGAATATTCTGTTCAAGAATAGTTGATTTATTTTGGAACTTACTAGAAGTGGAGGTCTCTTTCTGGTTCTCCTTGCAGGGCTTGGATGGGTTTTCATCTCGTTCCTCATTTTTGATTTTGGGTTGCTTTGATTTCTTTCTAGATGGTAATTTTGTAGAGTTGCTCTTACGCTTTACTTTTTTTTTACTTTAGTAAAATGAACCTTAATATCACTTTCAGATTCAGATTCAACTGAGGATTTTCCAGAATCAGATTTAGATTCAGAGCCAGAATCGGATTCATTATTAGAAGTGTTAGAATCTGAACCTGATTTAGAACTTGAATCTACAGTAGCGATATTGACCTTACCTTTCTTTTTGGATTTATTTTTAGACCTGCTTTTTTTTTTATTTTTAGGACAATTGTGAGAATTATGTCCAGTTTTATTGCAAATAGAACATCTGTGATGCGACTTCACTGCTTTTTTAACAGCTTTGGCTACATGTAATTTTAATTGCTTTTGTGTGAGATTGGCAAGTTCTTCATCAGGGTCAACTTCAACTTTCTTTATTACTGGTTTTGGAGGCAAATCAGGCTTGAAGATAGGAACAAATTCTGAAACCCCAGTAATCTATTGTACAAATCTATCCATTAATATATCTTACATTTTTTGATATGTGTCAGGAGTTGTAGTCCATAATAAGGTTGAGGTATCTGCAATGGTTGTGATGGCTATATTTGCTAAAGAGCTGATTGTGAAGAAATGGATTAGGATTGTGTAGGTGTTATTAATTTAGATGACAATTTATAACTAGACTGGGGTATTTTACTAACTAATCCTAATTTTTTCTCTGCTCTTCGCAATTCAATTTGCTCTAAAATTTCAAAAAGATCAGCTAATGGTTGCTCAGTACCAATACATTCTGCATCATCCTCCAAGTCTGGAGAAAAACCTCTTAGAAATTGTCTCTTAATCTGTTGCTCATCAAAATTAAGCATTTTTCTATATTTTAAGAGTTTTGAGTAAAAGTCTCCTATAGGTTCACCCCCTAAGCTAATGATCCATAAACTAAATTGTGCTTTTCACTTATTACTGTAGGATATTCATTTCTGAGCCAATATAATACTTGACCAATCTGAATATCACCAAATACTATAGGATTAGCATTATCTGCATTAACAGCATTGGCAGGTCTATCCGATGAGCATCTTCCAGCTAAGCGCCAATCTTCAGTAAAAGCTTCAGCTGGAATCATAGAAACATCTACGGTTACTGCATTATTACTAGCAGTATTTGCATAGTCATAGGCAATTGAAGGATTTCTAAAGCTATTACTAGTATTTATCTGTACCATAGTGCGTCCCCGAAGAGCACCCATACCAGTCTGGCCATGATTTGCAAAAATATTGTGAAGTTCCTATCGTTTACCAAGAATTTTTCGATCAAACCATTCTAATGCTCGCCTATGTAGACACCCTCTAAGAATACCAAATGCTTGATCCCGATTGGCAACTGGGTCTATACTAGTGCCAGCTAAATATGATGATAATCAACTAATAAAAATATCAATATCCTCATCATATTCACCTGAAAAATTTGGTAGTGGAAGTGGTTGTAATGCCATATTTGCTTGTATATTTAAGGTAAATTATTCTGTAGCGTAAAAATTTGTTAATTTAAATTCAAAATTAATTGCTCAGAATTTCATGCCCGAGTTTTCTACTTACACCACTTGTTGTCTAGTTGAATATCGGCAAGTAATAGATTATTTTCTAAAGTCTTGCATTTATTTTTCCACTTATTGTATCGATTTGTTGTAAGATTTAAGAGATGTGTAGTAATTGCCCCATCCATCTTATAATCTTGTAGTTGCTGGCTGTTTTGCTGGACTTGAATCTGAAATTGTCTATTTAAAAGGCATGATACAAATTTTTCTTGGAGTAGCTCTGATATATGCTTATTTTTTTCTATACAAGTTGCTTTTAATAAGTAATAATTAAGTTTGTGGGCTCTATAAGCTTGATAAAAAAGATCATAATCATTTTGAAACGTGGCTAACTGGGTTTGTGAATCAGCTATCTGGGTTTGCAAATTTGTTAGCTAGGTTTGCAAATCTGCTACTCGGTTTTCAGTATTAATTGCATGAGCATTTGCCTGTGGGTATATTTCTAGTACTAATAATTTAAGCCTATTACCAGCATCAGAGAATATGTTAAGATAATTTACAATATCATTTAATGTAGGTGTTATTGTAGTTGGGCTTT